CGACGGTGACGACGACGGCGGCGCACGACGACGACGACGACGACGACGACGACGACGACGACGACGACGACGACGACGGTGACGACGACGACGACGACGACGACGACGACGACGACGACGACGACACACGAAGCACGACGCACGCCGCACAACGCGCGAAGCCGGTGCCGACGCCGACACCGACGCCGACGCCGGCGCCGACGCCGACGCCGACGCCGACGCCGACGCCGACGCCGACGCCGACGCCGACGCCGACGCCGACGACGACGACGACGACGACGACGACGACGACGACGACGACGACGACGACGGTTGCGGGGTTGGCAGCGGCGGCGACGACGCTGACTGCGTCGCCGTCAACGACGTAGACGACGACAACGACGACGCGGACGACGACAACGACTTCGTCGCCGATGCCGACGCCGACGCCTACGACGACGAGACGACGATGCCGACGACGCCGACGATACCGATGATGACGACACCGACGACGTGCAGAGGAGAGTAGTCGTAGGATAGAGACTATACTAGGAGTAGGGTAGAGTAGAGGATAGAGTGGAGCCGAGTAGAGTAGGCTGGGAGATGGTAGAGTTGAGTAGAGAATGTTAGGGTACGGTAAGGTCAAGTAGGGTAGAGTAGAGTAGGGCAGAGTACAGTAGAGTAGAGTATAATAAAGTGCAGCATAATAGAGTAGAGTGAGAGCAAGGTGGAGTAGAGCAGAGTATGTTAGGTTGAGTAGGTTAGAGTAGAATAGGATAGAGCAGGGCAGAGTAGGGTAGAGTGGAGTGGAGGAACGCCGAGTAAAGTACAGTAGAGCAGAGCAGGGCAGTGTAGGGCAGAGTAGCGCAGAGTACAGCAGGGCCTCAGTGGGATACCGAGAGAGCTAGATCGAGACCCAGCGGCATTCTATCTGAGCTGGCGCCTGGCGCGAGCGCTGGCGACAGGTGCGCCGCTGACGTCGCCGCCGCCGCCGCCGCTGACGTTGTCGTCGTCGTCGTCGTCGTCGTCGAGGGCAGGGGGGGGGGTGGACCTCACCAATGAATTTCCCCGGGGATGGGGGGGGCGTCTGGCTCTCGACCTCCCCTTGTATTTTCCCGGGAGAGGAGGGGGAGCTCCGGACCCCATGGGGGGGGGGGGGGGACCCCCTAGGTTTTTCCCAGTGAGGAAGGGGGGGTGGGGCGCTCGGGAGGGGGGGGCTCGGGGCCCCCTGGTTTCTGCTTCGCTCTGGCTCAGGCCAGCGACGGTAGATCGCGCTCCATCCGTTTTCTTAGCCTGTTTCGTCCTTTCGCATCCCTTCGCCATCAGAATCAGAAGTATGCTCATGATCCTCCATTTGCTCATCCTGCTCCCCGCGGTCTTCCCCCAAGATTGCCTGGAGACGGCTCCAAAACAGCCCAAGGCGGCAGCAAGATGGCCCAAGAGGCCCCCAAGAGGAGCCCAGGAGGCCCGCAAGACTGCCCAAAGACGCCCAAGGAACGCCCAAAAACTTTCGGCAGAGGGCTCCAAGACGGCCTCCGAAGGCGTCTGTCGGACCGCGAGCGCTCTATGACAGCGCAAAGGGCCTCCCAGAGACTTTAAAAGTTCTTCAAGAGGCTCCAAGAAGCCCCCAAGAGGCTACAAAGAGGCCCCCCAAAGCTCCCCCAGAGGGTCCACACAGGTCCCAAAGAGGCCCGCCCCCAAGCCTTACCAATTGGACGAGATGAGAGCCTGAAGACGGCCCGAGAGAGCCACAAAACTGCTTAAGAAACGAAGCCGTTTATGACGCCCCCAAGAGGTCGTTCCAAAGGACCCATTTCGTTGCACTGTTTCGAATTGAAGCATTTGGGTGTATCCGTGTATTTCATGTGCGCCTGGGTACCCACTTGAGTGCGTGAGCTGGCCACGGACTGGGTCCTGCTAGAACCTAAGCGCGCGAAGCGCGCGCGTGGTTCTAGTGTGTATATGTTATATGTTAATGTATAAAAAGAGCTATGGCGTAAGTCTGCTCAGTTCCCGTCTCTGTCACGAGCTGACAGCGGATCGAGCCGTCCGGGCTTGCGCACGGTTCCTGACGTCGAGTCAGAGTGCCCTCGTGAGGGATACTGTCGGCTTGGTGTGTTCAGTCTGCTCGGTTCCCGTGCCTGCCGAGAGCTGACAGCGGATCGAGCCGTACGTCCCCCGTGGACCTGCCCTCGCGGCCATATGCGCTGCCGGAGTGGCCGCGGCCCTGCACCAGGGCTGAATTTCGTGGACTTGGTCCCCGGCCTCCTTGCCTCCTTCCTCCCTCCTTCCCTCCTCCTGCTCCTGCTCCTTCCTCCTTCCTCCTTGCTCCTCCTTCTCCTCCCTCCTCCTCCCTCCGCCCTGGATCCTTGCCTCCTCCTGCCGCTGCTGCTCCTTCCGCCTCGTCCGCCTCGTGCTCCATCCGGCTCCTCCCTCCGATGCTCCCCGCCTCCTGGAGGTGCCCGCGTGGCAGCAGCCCCAGTCCATGTCGCTGAGCAGCTGCGCGGCCGCCTCCCCGGAGGCGCCTGGGAGCGGGAAGGCACCCGCCGAGGTCGGGGATGGAGGAAGGACCAGAAGAAACGCAGATGGGGAGAAGGAGGACGGGGGATAGAGGAAGGACGGGGATATAGAGAAGGGGCAGAAGGAGGAGGACCAGAAGAAACGCAGATGGGGAGAAGGAGGTCGGGGATAATTGGAGGAAGGACGGGGGATAATTAGAGGAAGGGGCAGAAGGAGGAGGACCCGAACGAGCGCAGGCTGTACCAGCGCAAGCTACACGAGCACACATCCTCCGAGCCCCCTCGAGGGTCCTCGGAGCGGCGCGGGGCCGCCCCCCCCCCCGGGCAGCGCCCCCCGCGGCGCCCCCGGCGCGCCGATCCGAGGAGTCCGCGCGGGCCTCCGAAGCGTTTCGTGGAGACCCATGCCACAGGGCTCATTTCGACTCCTCCGATTCGATTCGATTCGATTTCGATGGCTTCCGATTCCGATTCGATTCGACTTCGGATTCCGATTTGGATTCCGATTCTTCATGGAGGCCTATTAGCCTGCCGATTTCTGCCGATTCGACTTCTCCCGACTTGGCTGCCGATTTCCGCCGATCCAATTCATTTCGATCGCCGATTCGACTTGTCGATTCGATTCTGGGCTCTCCTGATGCCAAGAAGCACCCTGCTTGCCTCCAGGGTGCCCTGGGTTTCTTGGGTTTCGATGGTTCTGGTACGGAAAGCGTGACGTTCCCACACCAAAGATCAGTGGACGTCCTGGGGTCTCGGGGTTGGACTTCTCGTGGAAGGTTTCTTGCGGTCGAGCTACTAGTGTGCAAACGCAAGATGCACCAGCGATGTTGCAATGCACACTTCCGCCCGAAATCCCCTCTGCAGGAGTCCCTACAAGCATTGCTGCTCACAGCGCCGCGAAGTGCCACACTCCCCTCGAAAACGAAGCGCTCCATGGGTCCACAATTCAAGCGGGAGCTCCGTTCTGAAAGGCGATGTCCCACACCCTTAGAGCTAGAAGGAATACGGCAAGGTGGGGCTTTCAGATTCAAAGATGTGCCAACCGACAGCCCCGCTTTGAAAAGGAACCGACCTACATCTATGTAGTTGTTGCACACTCGTAAGCTCCTGGCCATAAAATCGAACAAGTCTGAGGCGAGAACACCACAGTTTTGAAGAGAATGAGAGAGAAAAAAAAACGCCACCAGTCCTTAATCACAGCTGTGTAAGTTTACAACTGTGGTCGTACCTCAGGAAATCCCACAAGAGAGCCCCATTTTGAAAACGGGCAGGTCTCCATCTGTGCAAGTGCTGCACATTGTTAATGCGAGGCGAGAGCCGCCTTCTGAAGACGACCGGCCTGCCGTCCGTGTGAGCTTCGGAGCTTTCCAGCTCGAGGGCTGTAAGCCGCAGGGACGCATCAAGAGACATCGCCCCGCCGGGCTTGCCGACACGCCTCGTGGTGCGACCAGGGGGGGGGGTACCTGTAATAAGGGTCCACATGCGAAACCCCACCCCTACCCCCCACGATTTCTGAGGTGGAGGGTGGGGTTCACTTCGCTCGGGAGCTCCCGAACGAAGTGAACCCCACCCTCCCCCTCAGAAATCGTGGGGGGTAGGGGTGGGGTTCGCATGTGGCCCCCTATGTAAGGAAGAGGGAAGGAGGAGAGCTGGGAGCAGGAGGGTGTTCGGCGGTCTTCTGCAGTGACGCCGAGATGGGTCGGAGGTTCAGGGAGGTCTCCAGGGGTTTCGGGGGGTGTCTGGAGAAGAGGACGGCGACGAGGAGGAGGAGGAGGAGGAGGAGGAGGAGGAGGAGGAAGAGGACCAGAGAGGCCCAGGATACAGCATGATGCAGCAACGATGTTGCAATACATCGGCGTCACACCAACATACTTATACTATGTGTGCGTTGCCCCCCAGGGGAGGATGCGCGCATCGAGAAATCTTATAGCACATGCGTCGTCACTAGTATGTCTTTGTGCGTCCCAGTACAGCCTCCCGTCCCAGGTCCCCTCCTATCCGTGCAGGGGCGCTTTCTGGCCACACCGCTCGGGAAACGATGTGCTACAAGATGGGTATACGATATGTCTGGGTCGGACGCGCGCCAACAAGGGGACCATATAGTGCGAGTATGTCCTTGCGCGTCCCAGTACGGCCTCCCGTCCCAGACCCCCCCTCATGGATCCGTGCAGTTTTGGTAGGTGGATCTCTCGAGCTCTCCGCCGCCTCTGGCGGTGTGCTTCGCTGTGCTCCTGCCCGCAACGCAAACCGCCAGAGGCGGCGGAGAGCTTGAGAGACCCACCTGCCAAAGGTGCGCCCCAGTGCGGCCTCCTGGGGCCTCCTGGAGCCTTCTGGGCCTCCCAGGCCATCCTGGGGCCTCCTAGGGCACTCTTCCTCCTCCTCCTCCTCCTCCTCCTCCTCCTCCTCCTCCTCCTCCTCCTCCTCCTCCTCCTACGGCCTCCCGTCCCAGGCCCCCTCGTGGATCCGTGCTGGTGTTCCCCTCCGCTCTGCGGCAGGAGCGCCCCCTTCCTGCCACAGCGAGAGCGCCCGCCCGGTGGGCCTGTGCCTCTCGCGCGTCACGGGGCCCAGCCTCTGTGAAGGATTCACCGCTCGCTTGCCCCTCCAGCCTCACGTCGGACCTGTGCCTCTGCAGGAGGAAGATGCCAAAGGTACACCCCCAGGCCGAAGAGCTTTTTCCTCGTGGACCGAAAAGGTACGAGAACACCAGTGGATCCAGCTCGTCGCGCCCAGCTCTGTGAAGGATCCACCACTTACCCCTCCAGCCTCATGCCGGGCCTGTCCCTCTACAGGAGGAATATTCCACAGATACATCCCCAGGCCGAACGTTTTCTCCTCTTGGACTGAATATATATATATATATATATATACACATATATATATACATATATATATATATATATGCGTATGTGAGAACACCCATGTATCAAACTCGCTACGCCCAGCTCTGTGAAGGATCCACCGCTTACCCCTCTAGCCTTGCGTCGGGCCTGCCCCTCTACAGGAGGAGCATTCCAACGTATGGCTTGAGCGAGTGCCCTTCACCCGTAAGAGTGCTGCACAACCTCGAGGTCACGGCCACACATGTTGCGCAAGTCTACGGCGAGAACCACCCACAGCGTGGAAAAGGACCGCCATCTCCTCCAGCTGCTCCTCCTCCTCCTCCTCCTCAGCCTCCTCCTCCTCCTTCTGCTCCTCCTCGTCCTGACTCTCCTCCTCCTCCTCCTCCTCCTGCTCCTCCTGTTCCTCCTGCTCCTCCCGACTCTGCGACCTGCAAGCCGAGGCCTCGGGCGGGAGCCCCGCCTCTTTTGGAGGAGGAGCCGTCCTCCGCCCGTGGAGCCGCGGCGCGGAGTCGGAGCTCCGCGCGGTGGGCTTCGAAGAAAAGAGCTGGAGCGAGAGCCGCACTCCGAGAACCAGCCCCTCCTCCTCCTCCTCCTCCTCCTCCTCCTCCTCCTCCTCCTCCTCCTCCTCCTCCTCCTCCTCCTCCTCCTCCTCCTCCTCCGAAGTGGGCCTCCTCCTCCTCCTCGCCTCCCATTTCAGAAGCTGAGGACGCTGCGCGCGGTGACCAAAGCGAGGGCCCCATCTTGAGTGCGTCCTGCCCTCCATGTGACCGTTGGGCGGTCAGCAGAGTGCGTGCGGCGCCGAGGCGGGAGCCCCATTTCAAAAACCAAAGGGCCCTCCATCCCTTTTAACTGCCGAAGATGCTTTGCTCCAGAAGAGTAGCGTGCAAGAACGGCTTAAGCGACACGCCTGGCCTGGCCTGCGGCCACGTCCGGTGATGCGGCCGGGGGGGATTCGTGAAGAGGGATGCGGACGAGGGAGGCAGGGAGGACTCACAGCTGGTTATGGTAGGCACGGGCCTCCAGTGGCAGAGCCTAAATGGTTTCCTCAGCTGAAAGGGGTTGTGCAATAGATTTGGGGCAATTGTATCGCGAATGTGCTGCGCCAGAGAATTGCATTGCATTGTATTACAACTCATGTATTGCACGCGGAAGTCCAGCAATACATTTCGCGCCCTGGAATGCATTGCACGCCCCAAATCTACTGCATCCCCACAAATCTATTGCACCAAATCTATTGCACCACCCCCTTGTCGCTGGACCCCCTTTTGGGTCGACCTGGTGATTGAACGACGGGGGGATGCCCAAGCCGAGCTCCAAATTAGAGGGAGCAGTGGATCCGCAGACCTGTCCAGGCAAGGAATGGCGCAGGGCCGTACGCCACCCCCCTTTCCTCAGGGGCAACGATAGGGGGAGATGGGCCTAGGGGGTATGCATCGACCCCCCATCGCCCATTGATTGCCGACAGGGGCACGATACGTAGTAGTCCCAGGGAGGTGCGGATTCACCATCAGGCGCCTATCGCCGATCTATTGGCGATGTATCGCCGATTCCAGGTCCGTCGGTTTCGGTCCGGGGCCGTTTTCATCAAAGGGTGGTTTACTAGAGGGAGGATTGTCCACCGCCGATATTGGGTGGCATCAGCCCCTACCAGCACCCCAAAGCAGGCCGAAACGATGCAGTGCAAAACGGCGAACGCAGCACAAGTCAAAGCATCTCAGCACGTCGAACGAAGGCACCGCCAAACACGGTTCGGGTGAACGCAGCACGATGCAGCAAAAAAAAAAAGGCAACGCAACGAATTGCGAAGAAACTCGCGGTAGCCCAACGCAACGCAACACAGCACAATACGAAGCAACCCGCTGTTCAACCCACGGGCGCAACCCATGCCAACGCAGTACCTCGTAGCAGACAAAAACTTTGAGCCGTACTTCGCAATCGAACGCGGCGTGGCCGAACGGCTCTTGCGTTCGCTTCAATCATATTTTTCATGGCGCCAACATCGCAGAGCGGATTTCGTTCGGAAAACGATCGGATGGGCAGCCCGGAGTGTCCTGGAGAATTTCGTTCCGGATTTCGACGCGAATTTTGTTCGGATGTTTTGGCCAGGACTGAACATTGAACAACTATACACGCGAAATTCATGTCGTTTTTTACTCGCCGTTACG